GTCTACTAGTAGAACTGGCATCTTCTACCTCTGCATATTTATTTGTGTTTATTACTACTATATTAAACATAGAAAATAAAAAAAAAAAAAATCTATTAGTTTAAATACACTAACATTAAGATGTAGTGGCAACTGAACATTCATATAATGCAATGAACTTGTATGAACCAATAGTTCAAAGTCAAAAGGTAGTGGTGGCAATTTTGAAGCTATTTTATATTTTCTTTTGGTGGCACAATTAGTGTTTGCTGTAGAATTTTTATTTTTGTTCTCACTATTTGGCTCTGAATCATTTAAAAAATATTGCCAGTATGTTAAAATTGTTATATATTCTTTTTCTTCTTCTTTTGCATATATTTTTATATTTTTGAAAGATGACAATGATGATGAACTTGAAGACAGTAGTAGAACATTTAATTTATTTGACATAAAGTTAGTTTTTTTTTTTTTTTTTTTATTTGTTTAATTTTATTTATATTTTTTTTTTTGTAATTTAGTAAAAACATTTTTTTGCTATTTAGTAAAAGTGTTTTTTTGCAATCTAGTAAAGGCATTTTATGCAAAATAATTTTGTGCAAACAATTGTAAATTTACTTGAACACTACATGACTAAGTTATAATACATAAAAAATACAAAATTATAAGAAATGATTGGTGATAATTCAAACTTTAATTGTAGCTTAAGAAAGTAGAAGTAAAGCTTATAAAGATTAAATACAAATACACAAAAATGATTAAAAAAAAAATAAGCAGACAAATTTGCCTACTAGATGGTTTAAGGAATAAAGCCAAATTTATTTTATATTAAACTTAATATTAAATAAATTTAGCTTTATGCTAAGCTAGTATAAAGTGAATTTATTTTATACTAAGCATAAATAAAGCTAAATTTATATAAATACCTTTGATGTAATTTTATAATCTTTTAATACTTTAAAAAATTATTAAAAATATATATTCCATCATAATTTTTACTTAATAATCTGAAGTTAATTAATATTTCTTGAAGAATTCAATTATTATTTGTAGCAAAAATAAAAGCTTTATTGTTAGATAATGTTTAAAGGTCTGATGTAAAGAAAATTCTAAAATTTATAATAGAAAAGTATATCTATAGCACTGTAAATATTAGTAAATAATAAATATATAAAAAAAAACTTTAATCAATAAAGTTAACGGCATAGCCTCACCATTAATATTTAAAAAAAAAAAAACCCTTTTTTTTTTTTTTTTTTTAAAAAAAGTGAGGTCTTGCCTCAGTTTTCTTTATTGAAATTTATATATAGGTACATTATATAGTATAACATCATATATATTCTATTTATAAAAAACTAAAGCTAGGGCTAGTTTACCCTCAACCCAAACTTTGCCAAGAGGGGCCAAAGGCCTCGCTTAGTCCTGAATTGTTGCTATGAAGTTAGGTGATGCATTGTGATTTTTGAAGTTCACTGTCCAGATGCTGATTCTTTTTTTAACTTGTGGACTTTTGTAGTTGATAAGTATGTAGTTATTGGCATTACTGTTGTTCGAGGTTATTGTATTAGGTTAGGTTGGTTTACTAGATGTAGTGATGTTTGAAGATTGTTGGTTTGGTATATTTTGGTCTCTAGGTGTTCTTTGATATCGGGTAATTCAGATTTGTTTGTGTATTGCTTTGCTGATTTTATGCAGTATTATTTCAGCTGTTGTATGCTTTATCTTTTCGTTTATTATCTTGTTAATTATCTTGCTTTGATGTAGGGTAATAATGCCCTTAGTAATCATGTTTTTCTGTTTGTCATAAGTGTTCGATAGTATTAATAATGAAGTGAGAGTTTCCAAATTTTGTGGTGTATTGAGGTGATGTTTGGTAAGAATTTTTGTAATTGTGTCTTTAATAATAGAGTTTATGTTGGTATTGTTGGTATGGCATTGTGTCCAATGTTTGTTAGTTTTAGGGTTGGTTTTGCATCTTTGGCAATTTGGGTTATTATATTTCTTGGAGTTGCATTTGTATAATACCATTTGGATAGGTAATTCATTAAGGAAGAATTTAATTTTAAAGGCCTTTAGGTTTGAGTAAGAGGGATGTGTATATCTGGAAGTAGGTTTGTCATTAAAGTTTATGAAGTTGTGAAAGATTTTCCAGTCAATTTCTTTATGTATTGTATTTCAAGTGCTCATTCAATTTTGAGAATGCCACATGACAATGTGGTATGCATTATTAATGTGTCAGATAAATCTTCTGGGTACATGCTCGATGCATGCATTGTGCCAGTTGATAGTAAAGATATTACATCTTATTGCTGTATGGTTTATGCTAAGGTAATGTATAGTAATATTGGGTCTGATTGTGATGTTCAATGTTCCATTGAACTGAAACTGAATTTGCTAGGATCTTTGTTCAATAATTGCTTTTAGTATTAGACAGCTAGGCCATAGTAAAGTTTTGTAAGTCTGAGTATTATGCCAGGATGGAGTATTTAAAATAGACTTCACTTTTTGGATAAACTGTTTTTTGTTAGTATGTATAGTTATGTTTGTGTTTTTATAAATGCTAAGTGCGATGCATATTAGAGCTGTGCATAGTGCTTTGTTGATGCTTGGCCAGCTGTGATTGTTAAAGCAAAACTGTAATTTTGCTTTGTTATTTTCCCAAATGACTGACATACTTTCTATTGTATTTGGTTTATAGGTTACTAACTTAATATCAGTTGATTTCATTTTTGGTGTGTTTTGGTACAGGTTCCAAAGATCTTCTGCTGCCTTTTAAGGTAATATCGTATTGGTTATATTGATAAGGGTTCGTTGATATGATTTGATAAAGGACTTGTTGGCAGGCTTGGTTATAGGTTTTTGCTTATTCTTGTTGTCGAAACATATTGTTGCTAGTTCTTTAATATTATATCTGATATTATGTTTGGAGTCTACTTTGATTTGTTCAAGGTATGCTGTAGAGTAAATTGAAGTGCACTTTGTTTTTCGTAGTTGCATTTTGTTAAGATTGCATTCAGGACATGGTCATAGCATTGTGCTGTTTGGTGTTGTTATCCAGTGATGTATTGTTACATGCTGATTTATTATAGAAGAAATCTTTTCTATACTTTTTGTTTTCATGTTGTAAATTCAGTCTTTCTTGTTAACCTGTTTGGCTTTAAGTGTATAGGGGTTTGATGTAAGCAGTATGTAACTCTTATCTTTAATGATTTCATTAGTCTTCTGGTTTATTTGTTCGAACTATTTGGGTTTTCTACCTTTTTGTATTTTTATTATAGTCTGTGCAATATGTGTTCAGGTAAGTGTTTGTGAATGTGTATAGTTTGTACATTGTTCTATTATATAGATTTCTAATTTATTGAGTTTTGTTTTAATTTTGTGGGCTGATTTGAGTTGTTGTAGAGTATAGTTTATAGTTGTGCCTAAGAAAACTAGAGGTTTGGGCCAGGTATTGGCATGTTTTATTAGGATCTTCGCTTGATGTAGGCTTTGTAGCATTCTTGCTATAGTTGAGAAGTGTTCTTCCTGGCTTAAGGTATATGAATAGTTAGTCAATATGAATGTGTTAGTTGCAGTTGCATTTTGTATTTGTTGTAATCAGATTTTGAGAATAGAGTTGTAAAAGTTATGATGATTAAGTTGGTAAATCATTTGAGCAATATGTTGTTGGTCCTGTATTTCGTTGACTCTTCAAAGAGCATAGATTTTGTGATGGAACATTGTGGAGTTTGAGATAGATGTGGCCATGCCTGCTTTATGTTTTGCTATAGTTGTATAGTTGTATATGATTTTGTTACAAATAGTATCTAGTAGCTTGGAGTTTTGTATACGATAGGCAATTCTAGTAAGTATTACTAAATTGATTATATAGATGGCTTGTTTTTTAGTGATTTTTGCATATTTGAGTTTTTTAATTGCATTAATTGCTTATTCTGTTATGATTTGATGTATGGGCATATGTTTTCTTTCTATTATGAACCAACATCCCAGAAATCTAAATGCTTCTTTTGTTGAAATACTAGTAATTAATATATTGTTAAATATTATGCTAGGTGTTGTTTTGCTTATATTTGTTGCTAGAACTAATTTTGTTGGATTGACTTGAATATTGATTAGATTGTAGAATGTAATTGCAGTAATTATGATTTCAGATAGTTCTTCTTTTGATGTTGCAATCCAGATCATATCATCCATGTATGCTAGTACTGGATGGTTGATTTTATAGATAGTGTCATTGTTGTTCAGAGTAGATATAGTTGTCTTCATTTCATATTCTTTGTGTCTCTTAGTGATCTTGATTAGCAAAGGGTCATAGTATATGCACCATAGCAAAAGAGTGATCATCTTTCCTTGGTCTATTCTGTCGTGGACTGGATATTTTAATATGTTGTTGTGGTTTGTGATTACTGAGTTTATACAGTCTGTGAAGATATTGCTTATTAGATCAATTATGTTCTTTGGTAATTTTATTCTCTATAGGGCTTTGCATAGTAGTAGGATATGAATGAAGTCATAGGCTTTTGATATGTCTTGTGATAGTAGCCATAGTTCCTGTTTAGAAGCATTTGCACTTTCTATAATATGTGTTAGAATAGATATTGGTATAGCTGTAGAAGTGTTTGGTAAAGCTACATGGTTGCTATTGTTGAGTATCAGGTATTTAGTAAAGATATTATTGAGCCTGTTAGTAATTATTTTTGTTAGAATTTTTTGAATATGCTCTATAAGAGTTATAGGTCGTGTATTATTTAATTGTTCTGTAAATTTGGGTTTTTTGGAGATGGGGTAAATGTTGCTATGCTTTTATGTCTTTGGGATCATGTTTAGTATTAGGCATGCATTTAATATTGTGCAAAGTTGTGTTAGGCCTGTACTATTTAAGTGTTTTAGCATCTTATTTGATATGCCATGTGGTCCTGTTGCTTTACTAGTTGGTGATTTCTTAATGGTCTCCTCTAGCTCTTTTAGGATAATTGAATCAGAGATATGTTGTTTATAGATTTGTATTCTTCTTCTCACTCCTTCTAGTGGTTCCAGTCTGGAGGGTTAGGCTTTGTCCAGTTTTTATAATGCATTTGTACTTCTTTTCGTATTAGTTCTGGTTCTGTAATGACTTCATCTGCTTTGCATATATTGTGAAGTAGAACTGGGTCAGTATGTTTTTTTAGTATGCTATGAATCATGTGGGTAGTGTTGTTATTAAAGTCATTATATCTTTTGCTGATATATTTATTGATTGTACTTTGGTGGGCAAGGTTGTTTTTTAGTTTTCTGGCTTGGTGTATTGTCTTTTGCTGAACTTTTAGCTGTGTAATTAGTGCCTCCTTGTTAGTAGATATCAGGTCCTCTGATATAATGTAGTTGGTTTGTATTTCTGTTTTGTTGTTAATATAGTCTATATCCTCATTATATATTTGTATTAAGATGTTATTGGAGGTTTGTGTGTTTGCTTGTATTTGTCTTATTAGTTTGTTGATGTGCTTAAGGGCCACATGGAGTTTAGTGACTTTGGTAGAAAAGGTATAGAATATTTGGGGCTGAATTTTGATTCTGGGTATATTCTTTTTAGCTGCTATGATAATTGCTTGATTGAGTTCATGCCATTGTTTGTTTAGTATACTAGCATCTTTTATTTTTTGTGCAGTTGTATTTTCTTTTAGATAGGTTGTGATTGAGCTTGAGAATTCTGTTTACAGATCTGGTGTTATTTGGTTATATTTAAAGATTTCTCTTTTCCTTTGTTTTCATCTGTTGTTTTTTATTTGAGAGTTGTATGCCTATTGCAGTTGCATTATCTGGTAATCGCTATCTGTTATTCTATTCAAGAAATTATTTGGGGGGTATTATATTATATATGAGTTGTGTTGAAACTCAGATGTTATCTATTTGGCTGTTCATTTCTTGTTGGCTTCAGGTAGGGTCTGTAATATTAAAGTAGTCAAGTGTGCTAAGTAGTTCATGTAGTTTTAAAGTATTGAAAAGTAGAGCTATTTTCTTTTTGAGTTTTCTGTCAATGTTGAAGTCTCCAAGAACAATTGTA